CCAAAACCATGAGTTTCAAACTGCTGTTTATTCTTCGTTAGCGTTGTTCGAAATCTATAAGTTGCACATAGTAAGCGTATCAGAAAAATAATTACAGTAAATTAAGTTCATAAGCGTATCAGAAAAATAATTACAGTAAAATATAAATATAACAAAACAGAATAGTTACCAAATGGTTGTCTTGCTTGAAGTGCATCACAATTAGGAAAGTAATTAAGTTCATTAATTGACTGTGACGGTCAAGTGTCGGTCAAGTGTCGGTCAAGTGTCGGTCAAGTGTCGATCAAGTATCGGCCAAGTATCGGTCAAGTATCGGCCAAGTATAGGTTCACTTACCGACCATATCGCTCAGAAGAAAATAGGCTAAGAAAGAGTGCGAGGTTTTTTCGATATATGTTCCGATTTGGTAATGGAAAAATACATTGTAAAGTTGGTCGCTCTTGTGTAACTAATGTTGTACCTTAACGTGTTTCCATTATTCGTAAAACTACCCGGCTTATGCTTTATCCCTGATGTCATGCTGCCTTTTATCCAACATACCTAAAATGATTATTATTCCTTAGCTCTTATAGCTCTAACAGGTCCTTAACGTTATATTGCTTGTACAACGTTACCGATATTAACTATCCAGTTTATGTCGGTAATGGGATCCACCTAAATTGTATCAGCTAAAATTGCAGTGTGTAACTGCCCAGCTAAACGAAAAGCAAATGATCTTTTGAAACTGAACTAGGCGGTTAAACTCATAAGCAAAGCGATTTTATAAAGACTTCTTTTTGCAGTGCGAGGTCAGCCGTTGTTTGTTTGTTTTTTCATTATTGCTATTTTACCTAGAATAGGGCGTCTTTTTGGGGGTTTGGGCCTTAACAACGGTATCAATTTTTTTTTATCCTTAAATAGGGAACTCCGCGGCACCCACCTATCGGAAATACAGTACTAATCCGCTTTTATAATAAAGTTCGGATATAACGCGCGCTGTCATTGGTTGAAAGAGCGTGCTCTATGAGAGTATAGAGCATAGAACTGAGCTAAAGCTGTCACGCCATCTGCCAAATTGTACTTTGTTCCACCTTTTCCGGGACTTCTTTTTTTAGCTTTTTTTCCGATAATTGAAAGTGAAATTTCGGAACTAGCGAGCCGGCAAGTAGCAACAGAAGAACCAAAGAAAGGTTTGTAAACATACCAGGCGCCGTAATTTACGTAATTAAAACGTGAGCAGATACGAAAATCCTCAAAGGAAAAACAAAATAGACATTCCGAGTTTTAAAGATTTTCAGGCTCAGTTAGATTGCAAGCTTACGTACGGTAGTAAAATCAAACACAGCCAACACTCGTATAGTATATAAATTTAAGAGTTCAAAACAAAACAGAACAAAACAGAAATGATGAAAAATATAACCAAACTGGCATAACTGTTAAAATTCATACTAATCATGACGGTGTCTGAGCAAATATGATCATGCTGAAATCCATCGCGGTTCGCTTATCATGGCGATCTCCGGTCATCACAGTAAAGTAAGCCTCAAAAACTACATCGGCCGCCCTTCGAGTGAAAAAATAAGAGCTTGTCCTGATATCCTTTCCGATGTGTTGAGTGGAAAGTCACTTCAGTCACTGCAGCCGAGTTTTGCGGCGCTGTCATCCCGAGCGACCTTCATGTTCCGGTGAATTCGGCTGTCGTTCATTTAAAGAACACTCGCCTTGAACAGTTTGTTTTCTACCTTGTCATGTGAAAAAACTCGCGTGTTTTTATGAGGCATAATTCGGCTGAAGTTCACTGAACATTTCACTTCAAGATTCTGTATTAAAAACTTCAGGAAAAAGCCTTAAATTTGACCTGCCGAACTATTTTAGTTTGTAAACTATCGCAGATTGTGAACTTTGATGGTTTTTGAACTTTGATGGTTTGACACTTTTGACAGCTTTTGTCTTGTACAGCCAATCAGATTATTTGAACCATTCTAACAGGGATTCTGATTGGCTTATTGTAGCGTGCTCTATGAGAGTATAGAGCATGCTCACGACACTGTTGTTCGCTTTGGAAATAAAGTTTGTTTTGAAAATTGAAAGTAATGCATGGGAAATTTAACGGATTCTTTATTATAAAACAAATAGAGAAGCCTTGACTGTGCTCTGTTCTTAAGAAGTGGGGAGAAACACTCGACTACGTCTCGTGTTTCTCCCTACACTTCTTTCGTGCTCTAGCCGCTTCCTGCGTGCTTTATAACAGAACAGAGCACAGTCCAGGCTTCTCTATTTGTTAAATAAGAATAAATAATTCATGAACCTGTTAGCCTAAAAATATCAATTCAGACCCCCTTTACATAAGAACCTATTTAGCCTAAATTTGAAACAGGTTCCTGTTTTAGAAAATAAACCTTAAAGATCTTCAGGCAAAGATAAAAGACATGACTCTCAAAAGTAGTGAACATAAACATGTATGAACTATAAAAATCTCTAAATTTGGTATAAATAATGTATGAAAAACATAAATTATAATTTATATTACGGGTGCTTCGCGGTTCACATTCTATATCTATATCATTTTGAATACACCGAGCAGTAAAAACAAATCGAAGGTTTCCGAGAAAGGTCCAATTTCTCGTATTTTACTTTGTTTTTACAAATCAAAGGAAAGAAAGTCAATTAAGCTTTCGCTAAAATGCATGCGATCAAAAACCATTTCCCATTTGAGTTTTGGAATGTAATTTTTTTTTTGGATGACAAACTGCAGTTATCAGTAATGCTCCATTTTGTCGGACAAATATCTCGAAACAGTTGTATCCCTATAAAGTGGATTTACAAAGCTACGGAACCTAATACGATCTATATTTTCAACCGTCACCACCATTTAGTACACCAGCGTTGAAGACTACATCATCGGAAAATGAAATTTCCTTACTCGCGGTCCAATGGGAACAAACAGTGTTAGAATTGTTTTGACGTTTACTAAAAACACGCGCTTGATATAGAATGAAATAGAAATCAGAACTTTATGAGTGCGGCTGAAAGTATTGCGAGTTCACTCTACCGACGTCCCGTTTGCCGTCATGTCTCAAACTGGAGGTTTTTAACCCTTTAAATAGTCGAATTGTGTGCTCTTTATCGACAGACGGTGACACTTTTTTTTAAAGAATAATGACAGCGGCGGCGGAAAAAAAAGTTAAAATGCCATTCATTGTCCAATGAAATAAGCTTCCGAAGCACAGATAATAAAACCAAACATAACCTAACCTTTGAAAAGGGTGTAGTAAGTCTCCAACGCAATAAACATCGTGCGTTGTAGATCTCATAATTTTTATCTACTGTAAGTGAACACAGATCCTTAATTCTCACACCACATCTATCTCCGGAAAGTAACAGGCAAAGTCAATAGGTTGAATATACTTGAAAAACTAGAGAGGGTAAAGGACCGTGCACTTAGGTATGACATGTATTTAAAGCAAAGACCCTTCATTAAGAAAGAATGCTCAATTTGATTGGTTTACAAAACACATTAAAGGGTCGTCTCACCCAAGATATGTTAATTACGATAGACAGATGTTTTCAAAAGAAGACACCCACCACTACAGCTAATTCATTTCAAGTAAAGAACACGCATCGTAATTAAAGGGGCAGAAATATGCTTTGATACCTAAAGTAAGATGTACAAAACATGGTCTAAGGTCTCTTCGTTACTTCGCCGCTGTAAGGACTTGGAATTCGCTGCCAGAGACGATACGCGCTATGGCCGGCACAAGAGAAATTTAAAACTGGATTCCAGACACGCAATTTACATCTAAATTATGAGGTAATCATATTACTTATTGGAGTTTTATATCTTTTATCATGGAATAAACCCTCCCCCCCGGGGGGCAATGAATTATCGGCCAAGTAGCAGTGAAGTATCGGTGAAGTGTCGGTCAAGTATCGGTGAAGTACCGGTGAAGTATCGGTCATGTATCGGTCAAGTATCGGTCATGTATCGGTCAATTATCGGTCGTGAATCGGTCAAGTATCGGTCAAGTGTCGGTCAAGTATCGGTCAAGTGTCGGTCAAGTATCGGTCAAGTGTCGGTCAAGTATCGGTCAAGTGTCGGTCAAGTATCGGTCAAGTGTCGGTCATGTATCGGTCATGTATCGGTCATGTATCGGTCAAGTATCGGTCGTGAATCGGTCAAGTATCGGTCAAGTATCGGTCAAGTATCGGTCAAGTATCGGTCAAGTATCGGTCAAGTATCGGTCATGTATCGGTCAAGTATCGGTCATGTATCGGTCGAGTATCGATGGTTTAAGACTATATCGGTCGACACATTTATCGGTCGACTGTCGACCGATATATCGGTCGACTATCGACCGATAGTCGGTCGACAGTCGACCGATAGTCGGTCGATTGTCGACCAATAGTCGACCGATAGTCGACCGATAGTCGACCGATATATCGGTCGACTGTCGCCCGATATGTCGACCGAGTCCACCTATAGTACACATGATCCCTTAAGTTTTTAAACTTTGCATACGTACGGTACGTACGGGAGGACTTTGGGTGAACTTTATAGCAAAATATGTTATACTGAAAAAAAATCCATATTCGTTTGTTAGCCAAAAGAGGCTAAGCTAAAGGTTGTTGTTGGAATATCGATTAAACTGTTGATATGTATTGTGTATGCCAGTTGATAACACTTCTGTGGTAAATGTGAACGACATTAGTCCTTCGCGGGCGAAAGATACTAAAATATCACGCGCTATTTTTTTTTTGTCCTTTTATCGCGGTATTTGTTTCATCGATATTCAAAATAATATTTTTTCAAGCGCTCCTCATGGAAAAAAAGTGGAAAATCAAATAACTATCAACATTTTTGCTTTTTTTGTTCAAATACATGCACACTACATAATAGTCTGGGCTATTTGAGAAGGAGTGTCACGACAGGTGGTCTAAAGTGATGTTAGAAATTAATAATTTATTACAAATTTCGTCTCCTGGCAGCAGTGATTAGGTTAATACCATGGCTTTGATCTTCT